GTGTGTGTGTGTGTGTGTTGTTTTCTTCTTCTCTCTCTCTCTCTCTCTCTCTCTCTCTCTCTCTCTCTCTCTCTCTCCTTCCCCCACTCTTAATTTATACCAGAGGAAATAGAGATTAACTCGTCAAAAGTGATATATACTATTTTTTTTTTTTTCAAATGATATCGTAGAATTTATTATACAACGGGATGATAGAGACGTAGAGATGTAAGTTTACAATGTGTGAAAAATATTTTGTTTGATCGTTTAGAATGTTGAAGTTGGCGGAGGATTCGTCGAGCGATCAAGATAATTTTGGTGAGAATAACGGGCGACGCTCGACGAGAAATGTCCACGTATCCACGACGGACGTCATAGTGTATACCATTGAGGGTTGTTTACCGTCTAAGTAAGGCTTGTATATTTCTCTATTCGATCGATATTTATCTATCTATTATTTATCTATTCTTTAGAGACGCTCGACAGAAATAGAGGAACAAAGTAATATTTCTGAAAAATATTTGTATACATTTCAGAATTTGTTTCTTCCAAATCTTACCGATTATATTTTATATATATATATATACTTAATAAGATTTAAAATTAATATAAATTGTTTGAAACGTTTCAAATTTGGATATTGGATATCCATCAAATTATCGTTCGTGCAAAGTTTCGAATGGAATGAAACTAGAAAACGGGTGTGTGTGTGTGTGTGTGTGTGTGATAGTAATGTGGTCGAATCGTTCGACAGGATACCCTTTTCGATGCCTTCCTGCGAGGGGATTTCCTTGGACAAGATCGTCGACGTGCAGAAATTCCGTCCCTTCGTCGTGAAGGGAGTGACAAAGCCACCGTTCGTCTTCCCGAAATTCAATTATCGCGAATGGCAGCGTATGATGACGCGGTTGAAGAATCATGTTTCGTCACACACGCAATTCGAAGTAAGTAATTTCGAATTCGAAGCATCTTCGCATTTATCGTATTTATCGTTATGTTTTAGTAAAAAAAAAAAAAAAAAAAAAAAAAACCTTAAAACGAGTCTGCTTCACCCGTTTCAATTCATTTTCAATTCATTCTCTTTCACAACAGCGCCACCGCAATTTCTTTCTCCTCTATCCTTCCATCTCTTTCATCGTTATACATAATTTTATTAATACAAGTTCTCTTGAAAATTCGTTCTCGAAACGAATCCTTTTATTTCTCCATTCCATCCTCGGAAACGTTGTCTCGTCTGATAATACTTCTCTCTTTTATTCCCATAATACTTTTCTTTCTCGATCAGCTTTCGATCATTGGCCGAGATACTCGACAACTTACTGGGTTTCAGAAAGAAGAAGAGCCGATCGGCACGTCCGAGGAAGCGTCGTCGTCGTCCGTCGATCGATCCGTGATTCAGGATAGAAAGCAAGAGCTGATGAAGGCAGCCACGAAGAAGGAAATGATGCCGAATATGATCGCCGTTAATACGACCAACTCGAACGACTCGTCGCCGAACAACACGCGCATCCTTGATAATTCCAAAGTTGGGAAATGGGTGGTGGATCGAGCAGCGGCAAGGACGAGCGAGGAATTTTCCAATATCGGCGGTATCGTATCGCGGACGGGTCCCACCTCTGCAAGCGTAGAAAATCGATCGAGTTTCCAATTCCGTGATCGGATCGATAACGAGTCCCGCGAACGTTCCAAGTTCAACGTTGGAGAAAATCCCGAAATTGTTGCGTTTCCCAACACAATTCCGCCTCCCCCTCACAACCCCCTCGCCCCCCCTCCCGAGTTATCCTCCAACGAGCTTCTAAACTATCATAATTCCGCGCAATCGAACATTCCCTCCGAACATGGTGGAATCGCGCCCGATTTCCCATTCAAAAAAATGATGGTCGAAGCGTTGGGAAGGAGAAGAAGGTTACCGGCTCGCAACACCACGTCGACCAACAACGGGATCGACGATGAATCGCGGCCACCGCGTCCACGCGATTCCGGGACAAAGAAAAACCAGCGATTCGAATTTAATCTTTAATAATTCGCGAAAATATTCCCTCTCCAATTATTATTTACGCGCGCGAAATAAGGAGTCGATCGCCGATTTCGAGAGATAACTCGTTTCCATCGTTCGCACGCGAATAATCATTCTGCTTTCGAATCGTATTCACGATTTCGCGAAATATCAAAAAACGGGCAGCCGCCCGATGCGTAGTATTTCACGAGTAGTACGAGTAATTAACGTGGCGTCTCATTTCGTTTCGATCGATCTTCGTGCACGAGAAGAGAGACTTGTTGTTCGAGAAAATTTTGTGGAAAATACAAATCCCCTTAGATATTTTTTTTTTTTTTTAGATGGAGGACATTTCAAGAATTCGATAGATCATTTGATTTATAATCGTTACGTGGTTTTTTCCCCCTTTTTTCCCCCGTTAATTTATCTAAAGCGAACGAAGTAAATGTCGTCCAGATGAATTCGATTCGTGTAATTATATAAGTGTTATATTTAAACGGAAACAATTCGTTATTTATTCATAGTATATAAATTGATCAACGCAGAACAACGCAGAAACTTTCGTCGTTTTCACTTTTAAACGCTCCCCCCTCCCCCTCCCCCCCGTACACGTGTCATTTTTGTAGCAAAGTTAATTACTGTTATTACTTGTACTTGAAGTGTCCTTGACAATTTTTTTAGCCTAAAATATTTTTCGCATCTTCACCTTGTCCACTGTCTGTATATAAAATATCTTGCTACGCGTCATGCGTTAGAATTACGAATAATTATCAATTATCAATTACTTGGTTAACCAAAGTGACAAAGCATCGAAAACGTTTTCGTGCGAAAGAAGATTGAACGGGCGGGTCTGGGAAAATCGCGGGAAAAAGTTCACTTCCTCGAGAAATTCCTCTATTCTATCGCGACGTAGGGACGTAAAACGAGGTAAACAGCGGCAGTGGAATCTGCTAACTCGTCCTCGATCTTGCTTGAAATTTAGAATGAAATTTCTCAACGAAGACAAGCTGTCAAATTGAAAAGAGATAGGGTTAAAACCGGTTACCAGAATCGAGAATACCGATGCTCCATTTTTTTTTGTCCCCTTCTTCTCCTTCCTTCCTTCCTTCCTTCCTTCCTTCCTTCCCCTTTCTCCTCCTTTGTTCCTCCCCGATATATCGGTATCCAAGTCATGGAACAACGTCCCGACTCGACGCCACGTTTCCACGAAAGAGTTCCGCGTGGAACTCTTTTCTTCGGGCGGAAGGAAAATGGAAGGAAACATGTGTATTTTCCAGTCCGAAGCGAATAAAATTTATAATAATCATTTTCGATCGCGTTTTTTCTTTCTTTCTCGAGATCTCGATTCACAACAACTGTTATTCATTAACACTCTAACCGAATACGTATATGATAAATCTTGGAACGCTTTAGGATGGAGAACGAATTAAATCAGACAGATCATTTCAACATCTTATTATGATCTCGTTCGTATAACGATAAAAATTCGCGTAGTTGATAAGTTGATTCGACGACATTTTATTTAATCGAGTACGATTAGGATATAGAATTTAATAATTTTAATAATTTAACGACGCACGAGATACGAGAACTTTGCGTCACTTTGCGTATGTATCTCTACGTATGTAAGGTAAGCCGTCTGAATGAATAAAAAGTGCCAACGTTCGATGCCCTTGGATACATCTTTAAATTAGTATAAAAGTATTTTATCCAAGTAACACTCGATGTATTCTTGATGTAATTAAAAGAGATTAAAAAAATCAAAATTCAAACACGTTCGATCAAAATACATATTTATTCGTACAAAACATTTCGCTATTAATTTTCGAAAGTATACAAATAAAAATGATAAAATTTCCAAAAAAATTCCATTCAGATTCAATTTTAATCGATTTAAAAATTTTAAATCTTTATATATATATACGATATTCGATCTCTATCGAAATTTATTCGATACTTTTCGTCGCTACACTCGACTCCCGATCATCTACCATTCCCTTCGCTCCCTTCGACGATTCCAAAATCAACTCCGTCTCTGACGATACGAGTCGGTCATCGCCGATTCTTCGTTTCTCGGACAAATTGGACGGAGGAATTCCAGATTCCTCGACACGCTGCGAAGCAGGAACGTGCGTGGTAGAGGGATAATCCAGGATGAAGCTCGTAGATGATCCCTGGTCAGAATCGGTGCTCTCAACATCCGCTTTTCTCTCCTCGTTCGTTCGCTGCTCCACGGATTTAATGACGGGGAACGAATTTCTAGGGAATTCCACGCTGCTCACCATTTCCTCGTCCTCTCCGATCACCGAGATGCTCAGCGAAGGTTTAAAATCGGCCGTCGATTTCGAACCTTCCACCTCCTTCTCGTTATTATTCTCGCACAACGGTATACCGAAATCGGGCAGGCAATTTTGAGCGACCAAAGTGGCCGTGAACGGTGCGTTCAACACCTTCGTCACGTATATCTGTTTAGGTCTGTTCAGGTTCGACGTTTTGTCCAGATGCGGAATCAAGTGTCTCCTCGCCTCTCTCGTTCTTCTCCCTCGTTCCGTCGTTAACAACGCCTCCGTCCTCTTGCCCGATTCCGACCCGATCCCCTCCGTCGAGATGTCCGAATCTAAGGAAGAATGGAGAGGGTACGAACCCACGAATTCGCTTAAAACTTCCTCCTCCTTCGACGACTCGCCGCTGCTCCTCTCGCTCAATATCGAAAATTCCTGACCCCCCTCCTCCTCCTCGTTCAAACCTTTGCCGTTCGGGTGTTGCTGCGTCGTCCTCGGCCCGTGCATACACGACGATACCCCCTTCCCGGTTTCACGCAAATCGGTTGATGCCATCGAACGATTTCTATCACGCGTATCTCCTCCTTCTGTTGTTGATAACCGGGCCAGAAAAATCGATTCAGATCAAACGCGTCAACGTTGCAAAACGTTATCCCGTATGTAATAACCAGCAAGAACGAAGCGAGCTTCATTTCGCGCGAGTTGACCGAGCTCTCGACTGGCCGAAGAATATTTTTCTTCTCTTCTCGAGGTACACGGATTTCGAAGGTTTCGACGAACAAACTCGACTCGACTCGATTCGAATCGACAGACTGGTAGATTCTCTGGGCCAGGGTGTGGCTATTTATAGGCGGAAAACGTAACCAACCCCCGATGGACGGAGATTCCATTTTCTCGACCGCAGCAACACCTTTTCGGATAGATCGACGACGATGTTTCGAGACGATTAACAGACGAACCTACGAATATACCTGAGTCGAAACCGATTCCACGGCACTTAACGGGGGCAACTAACGTCGCGTTAATTGCCCTTAAGCGTCACGGCCCGTACGTGTGTGTGTGTGTGTTTGTGTGGGATCTTCTTCGAGCGGACGAGATAATTACGGAGATGGAGCGCTGCTAATGCGAACGCGCATTTCTGAAATGCTTCTTTCACCGTGCTCCTTCTTCTTCTTCTTCTTCTTCTTCTTCTATGCATTTAATCGCGTATCGCGTTTATTTTTTGGGATGAAATTACGTTCGTTCGATTTCCTTTCATCGATTCCATTTTTTTATTATTTTCATTCTCTTTCCGAGTTCTCAAAACACTCACAGCACAAGAAAAGAGCTAAACATCGATTCCATTACAAACAAGTCCGTGAAACACGCCTTATCCTTAAGAATGAAAATTCCAAAAACGAGTATACGAGCGGGATAAAAAGGAGTCGTCTCTCCTCGAAGAGAGAGAGAGAGAGAGAGAGAGAGAGAGAGAGAGAGAGAGAGAGAGAGAGAGAGAGAGAGAGAGAGAGAGAGAGAGAGAGAGAGAGAGAGAGAGAGAGAGAGA